TATACTTCCAGAAATTTGCTATATTATCATATTTTTTGTAAAAAAAAGTACAAATTGTTATTTGTACTTCCAAAAATTAACTATATTATCAAATTTATTGTGAAAATTTCAATTTCCCTAATGGAAAGTGAAACTTGAATTTAATGACATGAGAACTTATCTTATCACTAAAGCTGTTTCTGCCTTTCTCAAGTGCTCTTTTTTTGGTATGTGTTTACACTTTATTATCTTAAAGAAGAGAGGAAAACTGTTTGTCTTAAGTTGGTCATTCAGAAAGATTTCTGTATTTTTTAATTTGTTAATTTCCATAGATTCTAATAAAGATAGCTTAAGGCTATTTTGGATGTGAAGAATTTGAAATTCGTCATTAAAAGCGTGATTATGATCTAGAAGGTGAAGTGCGTATGTTGAGTCTGTTTTTCTATTATTGAAACCCATTTTATGTTCTGCTATACATTTGATAAAAGTTCTACCAGTTTGACTGATGTAAGTCTTGAGCAGTCGCCCCATTTAAAATTGCTTACACCACTGTGTAAGTGCTTTTTATTTTGGCTCTTGTTGTTTGTATTGTATTTGACTAGTTTATTGTTTGTTCTAAAAACTGTTGTTATTGTTTGTTTTAAAAGCTGGTGTTACTCCTTTCTTTTTATTTGTTTGGCTATTTTTGTTGATATCTTGCCTGTATAATCAAGCAGAAGGTACTGGAGTTTTTCTCTAGTGGAGGAAATACTAATTTCAGGGCTTTCTTGTGTAGTTTTTGATTTAAAATTTTATTAATCATTTGTTCATTGTACCCATTGTTTATTACTATTTGCTTAATGATATTTAATTCTGTCTGAAAGTTGTATTTTGTCATTGGAATTTCTATTAATCTATGTAACATGCTATGGTAGGCTGCCAATTTATGCTGTGTAGGATGGGATGATGAATTGTGTGAATTATATTTGCAGCATAAATTGACAAATTGACATAAATTGGCTGCTTACCATAGCATATTACATAGATTAATAGAAATTCTGATGTCAAAATGAAAATGACATAGAGTTAAATATCATTAAGCAAATAGCAGTAAACAATGGGTATAAAGAATAAACAAAATATTAAATCTTAAACTACATAAGAAAGCCCTGAAATTAGTATTACCACTACCTGAGAAAAAACCCAGTACTTACCTTCTGCTTGATTATATATACAGGCAAGATATCAACAAAAATAACCAAACACATAAAAAAGAAAGGAATAACACCAGCTTTTAGAACAAACAACAACTTGGTCAAATATGTATAAAAACAACAAGAGCCAAAATAAAACACACTTACACAGTGGACTATACAAACTTAAATGTGGTGACTGCTCACAGATTTACGTGAGTCAAACTGGTAGAACTTTTAACAAACATAACAGGGCTTTCAATAATAAAAAGGCCTAAAGCTATCTTTATTAGAATCAATGGAAATTACAACAAATTAAAAAATACAGACATAATTCTGAATGACCAACATGAGACAAACAGTTCTCCCCTCCCCAACCTTTTCAGTTAAAGACTATAAGGCCGGTATTAGACTAGGTAACTGGTGGCGCCACCAAATTAACGCACAAAAAATTATGGGCAACTGGTGGCCAATAATTGCCACCAGCAAAAATTAATACATTTAGTAGTGAATAGTTAATATTGTTTAGTTAAGAGTATGTTATCAAACGAGTCATTATTTATTCTTGCCCTTTTCGGAAAGAGTCAGACAATTCATATACATGTAATGTATATGTTATTTTACGTTATATACATTACATTATTATTATACATTATTTCCTGAACTTTGTGCTGACGAACTAAAATTTTGTCAACTGACGAAAAAATGATAGTGGCTTACAATGTTTTAAAATTCATTGTGCTAGGGTTCCTCAGCTTTCTTTAATTTTAAATAAAAACTATGTTTATATTTTGAATGTTAAAAATGTAGTTTACTAAAAAAATAACTGAAACAATGGGTCAACAATATAACAATAGGCAACACACTAATGGGCAAATCTGAGGTGACCTAAAAGAGGTATTGCTAGTATCAAAAATTCAAAAATGAAACTAAACCGATACTGATCAATAGAATTGGCCAAAGGAAAATAACAAAAGTAGGTAATGTAATCAAAAGGTATGTTAAAAGAAAAAAGATCTAGTCTTTCACCCATTCTAAGTAGCTATGTCATGGATGATGTTATTAGTGATTGTATCAATAATTGCACTTTTTTCATTCCATTTATCAAAAGATGTGTAGATGATCTAGTTTTGGCACTTCCTAAACACAAAATTCTTGGAACAGTCAACATTTTCAACAATCATAATCAACATATACAATTTACAGTTGAGGAAGAGGTAGATAATTCTCTACCATTCCTTGACATGAGAATTGTAAGAAATACAGACAATATGCTGATATGAAAACCAGATGGTTCAGAAAACCCATATGTAGTAATAGCTATTACTCTCATCATCCAAATAAGATGAAAATGAACCTTATAACAGGATTAAAGGAACAGTGTTTTAAAACTTTCTCATCTAGACTACCTACAAGAAGATCTTCATTTGTTAAAAAATATTTTAATTGAAAACTCTTATCCTCCAGATATGCTACATAGGAGCTTTTTTCTAATTTATTAAATATAAATAACTTAACACCATTTTTTGCTAAATCTCAAAACACTGTATCCAACAATCAGAATATATATCATCATTCACTACCTTTTATACCATCATTAACTCCTAAATTAATACAAACACTAAAGGTTATTGACAATATAAAAATAGCAACAAAGAAGATCAAAACCATTTCATCTCTATATTCCAAAACTAAATATCCTATAGACAAATTAGATCAAACAAATGTAGTATACAGCATTGTTTATACTCAGTGTGAAGCTGAATATATTGGTGAGACTGGAAGAAATCTCTCAAATCGCATTATTTCTCACAAAAGTGATTGCAGAATTAAAAAACCATCTTGTGCTTTGGCAGATCATGTAATAGACAAAGACCATATTATGGATTTTGATAATATTAAAATTTTATGTAGTCAAAGTAATAAATTTAAAAGAACTTTTTTGGAAATGGTTTGTATTAGCAAAAGTGATAATTTAAACAAAAGGTCAGAAATTCAAAATCTAAGCAAAATTTATAATTATATTATTTCTATGTAGTTTATATATGCAATCAGTAAAATATCACATTTTGAATTTTCCATGTATTTGTTACATTTTTTAGGCATCTATCAATGGTGAATAAATCTTCTTTTTTGTTACTAAACAAAAAAGAATTTTTTAAACAAAATTTTATTTTTGAGAATATGTCAAAAATAAAAATTTTTAAGTTGGTATTTATGACATTGAGGCTTATTTGTAGCTATTCAATTTTTGTTAACAAATTCAATTGTTTTTGTTAAGAAACTTTATCAAAATTTATTTCAGAGAAACATTTATTAGAATAGGACATTTTTTTTAATAATATTTTTTGTAATAAGATAGCAGCAGTTTTATATAAAAAACTAATTTTATTCGGTGAGTTAACAAAAAAAATTTTATTTCTAGTTCAACTTTGTAAGATATTTTGTATTTTTTAGAAGCTCTTGATAATAATTGTTATCACAATTGAAAGCTCGAGTAAAAAATAGTCAACAAATAACCCCTTTTATTGACTCCAACCCATCCAAAACAGTTATATATATATATATATATATATATATATATATATATATATATATATATATATATATATATATATAAAAGACAAAACGTTATAACATATACATACATAAATAAACACATTATAGATATAAATAAATAGATGAAAGAACTTTGGAAATACCAAGAGAAATGGATTGAAGAGAATAGAAACGAAGAACATGCCTTCTATGCATATAAAGGGCATAAAGAGTTTCAAAAAAATTAAAATACTATGAAGTGAACATGGTCAGCTTTTTTCAATCCTAAATGACTATATTTATATCAACAATAAAAGTTCTTTATAAATTTAAAAATTATCTCTAATATATATATACATACATACATAAATTATAATTATTTATATTACTATTAACTATATTCCAACATAGCTATATTACTTATATTATTATATTAATTACTATATTAAATGGCAATAAACGACAATTTTAGTTAAAAATAACTTATATTTTTGATTTCCTTTATAAAACTAGTTATCAAAACACAAATTAAAATACATTATTTTTGATTTCTTGTTTGGATATAGAAAAAATATTATTTCATTATATACAAATGAACTATTGGTAACGCAACTAGTTACTTTAGTCTAATAGGATACATATAACATAATACCCCAACTTGGTGGCGCCACCAGATCATGTTACCAGTCTTGTGTCACCAGAATGTTTGGTCACCAGAATGACAACAATTTCTGGTGGCGCAACCAGTTGCCGTAGTCTAATGGGTCGCATTTACTATTAACTTAAATGTCCCGTAAGGTACTGAGTCACTAGTGGAACAACTTGGTGGCGCCACCAGTTGCCTAGTCTAATAATGGCCTAAAGTGTAACACATGCCAAAAATAGATCACTTGAGAGAGGCACTCTGCTGAAACAGCTCTGACTCCATCACTTAGTTAATATATTAGATAATAATAAAATGCCAAAAAGGAAATAGTTTCAGAACCTTAGGTCATTTAACTTTAAGAAAAGTACAAAGAATAGAGAATTCAATTACAGTTTTAGCTGTCACAAGCGCCGTTTAGGGGATTTCGCGATTGATATATTTCTATTTTCGTTTAAAAATTTACTAAATATCGAAACTAGTAGCTTAACACTTTGAATGCGGGAGGGTTTTCATAATGTTCAGACCAACTGTGGGTAGTTTCGGTCTATTTAATGCTACCAAAATGGTAATTACCACCACCCTTCAGGTACCATCAGGTTCGTTGCCCGCCATCAAAGTGTTAAGTGACTTTTGGAGGTATTACGGAGTGAGTTCTACAATTTCAGAATTTCCATCCATAGAGACCTGTTCGTCTGGCGATTCCGATTGGCGATTTGGAAGAAGAATCGTCGAGTCCTGCTTGGCGATTCGACCAGAGAGAGAGAGAGCGATTCAACTTTGCGGAGCCGTCGAGAAGAATCCTGTAGTGGTATGACATCTTACCTTATTTTTATGTAAGTGTGCATTTTGTTTATATCTCTACATAGAAACTATAACTGCTTCAACTGTCTGGCAAGTATGAATGGGGCTTCAAATGGAGTTTTCGACAGAATATGTATTTGAATAAGTTTTAAAATTTTAAATCATTTACTAATGGGGTTCATTACTTCTCATTAAAAAGCTAATATATCGTTGAAGGAATGTCTACAATAAATACCAATGCTCCTTCATCTGCAGATGCTTGTCTAAGTATTGTGCATAGTTTAATGTGTCATCGACAAGGTGGAGAGAGCGAAGGTTTTGCAAAAAGAGCGATCGAGTCCTTAGTTAAAAAATTAAAAGAAAAACGCGATGAATTAGATTCGTTAATTACGGCTATTACTACAAGCGGTGCTCACCCCAGTAAATGCGTAACAATTCAGAGAACCTTAGATGGAAGATTACAGGTTGCGGGAAGAAAAGGTTTTCCTCACGTAATTTATGCTCGGATATGGAGGTGGCCAGATTTACACAAAAACGAACTGAAACATGTCAAATATTGTCAGTTTGCGTTTGATTTAAAATGTGACTCAGTGTGCGTTAATCCCTACCATTATGAAAGGGTAGTGTCACCCGGTATTGATCTCTCTGGTTTAACTCTCCAATCGGGAACACCAAGACTGGTAAAAGATGAATATACTCCCGGAGCTGTCGCCGGAAATAGTATGGACATCGATGGAGATATTGCCATTAAATTTTCACAAACCATACAACATCACCCTCCTCAACAGAATTTCACAATAAGCGGTTTGCAGTCGCCTCCAACTAGTCAGAATCCAGTGCAACAACCGATACCACCAGAACCCATCCCACAAAATTTAACAAATAATTCTCCAGTCTCACCCCATATTCAGCAAAATGAGTTTAGCAACACAAACAATACGACAGTGGTAGCATCAAATAATAATGGGACAGTTTCCAGTACGCAGTCTACAAATACAATTGGACAAAACTTCACTGGTGCAAGTGGCACTTGGAATGGTTCCAACACTCTAACATATACACAGTCCATGCAACCACCAGACAATAGAAGTCATACTGCTTACTGGATAAGTTCACCCAACCAGATTAACTCGGAAGTAAGCATTGGCGGTTTATTATCTACTCAACCTGCTCCAGAATACTGGTGTTCGGTTGCTTACTTTGAGTTGGATACTCAAGTAGGAGAGACTTTTAAAGTGCCATCAAATTGTCCAAACGTTACTGTCGATGGATACGTAGATCCTTCCGGTGGCAATAGGTTTTGTCTTGGGGCGTTGAGTAATGTTCACAGGACTGAACACAGCGAGAGGGCTAGGCTTCATATCGGCAAAGGGGTGCAGTTAGATCTCAGAGGTGAAGGTGATGTGTGGTTGCGATGTTTAAGCGACCATTCAGTTTTTGTTCAAAGTTATTATTTGGATAGAGAGGCTGGAAGACAACCGGGGGATGCTGTGCATAAAATATACCCAGGAGCTTATATAAAAGTATTTGATTTAAGACAGTGCCATCACCAAATGACCACACAAGCTGCTACCGCTCAAGCTGCTGCCGCAGCACAAGCCGCTGCTGTTGCTGGACATATTCCAGGGCCCCATTCAGTTGGTGGAATCGCTCCAGCTATCAGTTTATCCGCCGCTACCGGTATAGGCGTGGATGATTTGCGTCGATTGTGCATTTTAAGATTAAGTTTCGTAAAAGGTTGGGGTCCAGACTATCCCCGTCAATCCATAAAGGAGACACCGTGTTGGATTGAAGTGCATCTTCACAGAGCTTTACAACTTCTTGACGAAGTTCTTCACACAATGCCAATCGATGGACCGAGACAATAGGATTAAAAGTGTGTATGTCATTAAAGCAAAAATATTTTAAACTTCCTAGGTTTTGAAACTGATGGAATTCTTGCAAGTATTTCAAAACAATAATTTTGCTTAAAAGAAAAGGCGAGATATTTTTATAAAAAGATGCTGAAACATTCATAAATAATTGTAACAAAAATTGACATTTTCTATTAGACGCAATCAAAGCCAAAAATCAAGAAGGAAAAATGCAAAAGTATAATCTTGTAGCAGCCTTCTTATAAACAATCTTGTATTGTTTTATTAATATGTTTTCTATTTCAGATGATTTCTTTTCCTCTGATTTGAAAGAACGAGTTGACAGATTTAGAAAATGTAACTTTACTCTTCAGTAATTATATTAAATCTGAATTTCAACAATTATTAAATACAAAAAATGCATGCCTAATGATTTTATTAAATGAAATTTATTAAGTATATTTGTGGGAAATATGAATTATTCATACATTTTTCCAAATTAAATTGTTCATGTCAATTTGAAAATAATTCGTGTGTGTTTTTCACGGATGGAAGAGTTTATTCTATTGATTTTCCAGGTATACATCCATTCAATATTTTTGCTGTGAGTTGGTATTCGTGAGAAAAATTTTTTGTTGCCCGATGCAATTTGATTTTCGAAGTCATTGTCTCGAAAATAACAAACGATTTCTGGAAAGAAATATAATATGGATGTGTACAGGGAAAGCAGTAGACCTGCATTATTTTAAAATCTCATTTTTACACATAATCGTTTTCAATCCCCTTGAAGCGTCAGCGTCAGTTCAAAGCAGTTAGTAGAACGTAACTTTTCTAAAGAGAATAAATGCACATTACATTTGAAGAAGGTAGTTGTCAACGAACTACAGCTCTTCATATGCAAAACGTATAATATTCTGTAAAGCAACAAACGTCATGGCCAATTCACCAATTTTAAGACGTCGTAACTTTTGATCGATTGGGAGAATGAAATCAGTGGAAGTGGAAGTAGAATCGTACAATCTTTAGTAAATTCAGTTAATGTAAAATGGTCATTTTGTAAGATGATGGAACCAAAGTGGCAGTTGTTTGATTTAACAAAATCAGTTGAATGATCCAATACTGAGATGTGAAATATTTGTCAGACAAACGAGAATTTTATACCTGCAGCCGCATACCACTCTCAGACTGTCGTTGTCTATATTAATTTGGCCAGAGTTCTTCCAATATCCTCACATTTGTTGCATGTGGAATGAAAAAATACAGAATATTGAAAGATCTTGCCTCCTTCCAAGTCAAAAAAAAATTTAGTAGTCAAATCTGCAGAGGAGGAATTCTTCATTGGTTTCTGCAAATTATGTATCCAAACATACATGTTCGTTACGTTGCAAGTTTAATAATGTTATAAAAGACAGAGAAAGACAATGATATTATAGTTTAGTAACAGTAGTTAGTTTTTACAGTCAGCTTTTGTTAGTAGTTAGCAATTTTATTGTATTTCACTATTATGTACGAGATATACATATATAAATTTTATATAAGTTTTTGTCAATAAATTTGATTTTTAAAAATTGTGTTCAGAGTTACGTCAAACATTGGGTCGGTTGGTTCAAAGGCCCGCACATGACAAGCCCAACATACTATATACCACACAACATAACAGTCAATTGGGCACGAATTGTTCAGGAATTGATCATTAAATAAGGATACCTTTGGTAGCTTAGTAGTGTAAATGTGCTGCAAAGGAATACAGTATTATGCTAATTAATGTGAATGTGAAATTGAATAATTTTAAATAAACACCATTTATCAGTTATAAATCAAGAAATAAGAGAACAGAATAAGTTTAAACTGTTGTAATCATAATATGACCCCCCTTGCCGTTTATAAATTATTAAATGCGTTTTTAGATACTTAGATTAATGTTATATGTAGCTCAATTTTCTAAAAAACGACCGTTGGCATCTTTTCTTAGCTAGGACTTCGTTCTATGTTCTAGGAATTCTCTGTATTTTTGCGAGTTCATCTTACCTTCTATTTCCCTAAGAAATCTTACGTCTTTATAAGAAAAGCAACCCAAGAACATCTTCAACGGATGTTTAACGGTTTGATCAATATGACCTGTTGTAAGTTTTTTTATGTCCTATTCCAACAAATGGAGATCTTTGTTCTTGTATTAAAAAAGGGTTCGCATGTGAGAACAACATTTCCCAATCTTCAAAAGTCCAGCTTCTATATTTTTGGCCAAATCGTAACGTTTCTTCATGATGGCAGCATTCTGTAACTGTTCTTTTGCAATCATATTGAAAATATAACGAAAGATTGTGCTACCACACGCGCTACGTTTACTACCTGCTACTACGTGGAGCAGTAGACGTAATCACATGCATATTTCTTAATAAAATAAATGTATAATAAAATAAAATGAAATAAATAAAAAATAAAGTAAATTAAAGACAGTCGCTCCGTGTGTAGACGATAAGAAAGTTATGCTTTTTCTTCTCGGTCACTCCTGGAATGGAGTTATGGAGTATGAGCAATAACTCCTGTGTGTGCTAAGCCTTGCTTAAGTTTTTGGCTCTTTTTTAGGGTTTACTTTACTTTCTGGCAATGTATATTCGAGTCATTGATATGTGTTTAAAAGCAATAACCATCTTCAATAATAAGAAGCAAGTAAAGCCTTAGTTCAGCTTACACGTGTGTAGCTTGATATGTGTCATGTCATTATTGACTAATTTCCTGAACTTGTCACTTTTTTGACATAAACATGTTATTAACTGCTAAAAAATTGTGAACAATATGTAACATATATTGACATTACTACTCACAATACTGTAATAAAAACGATAGAAGACTATCGTCCCTAATTAATCCTTTATTATTGGAAAATTGTGAGAGATATTTTAATTTGAACAAAGCTATTCTCTTATATACGTTATTAGGTTGTCCCTAAGTTCGTTTTTTGTCGAGGCATTCCAGAATAAAATAAAAGGCGCGATCTCTACATCCGAGCATGTTGATTGATACCAGCAGACAGTTTTTTCAGATTTGTTATGTTTTCCAAACAGAAAAATGTCAAAAAGAGTTAAGCCATACTTTACATAATGTGTGATAAAACATGTTTTTGCATGCGATGAAGTTATTTAATATTTTACTCGAAAGGACGTATGTATCTGCCAGATTTACAAAAAAAATATTTATCCTTTTTTGTCTATTTAAAGCTACAAAGGGATACTAAAGCAGAACGATATTTATATCTATATTGTCCACTCTCTTTTCTGGATATCTGGATATCTTGGCACAGTTGTTCATCCAAGTTTCTCGTCCTCATTGATTTTCGGAAGTTAGTTATCCAACTTGTTTTCGCTGTTTCTTGCTTTCTCCTATCTGGAGGTTTCCAATGCTGTGCTCGCTAGGTGTTTTTCATTAATTTGGATTTATCTTTTCTGTTTCAATGATTTATTCTGTTTGTTCGTATCGAACTAAGTCTAGTCTGGATATTCAAGATTATTATCCTCCCATCTTCTATTTCATAGCGCTAAATTTTTTATCTACTCCTATTTTAAAGGGATATTATCTGAGGTATGTGTAGTTTGTTTTTTATTTGTCATTTTATATCGGCATTTGGCAATATTTTATTACCATCAGTCTTGGCTTTTGTTATTTTACCTTTATTACGTTAATTCGTGACATGAGGAGTCCAAATTACTGCTATATGTGCTCCAACTGAGACAAGGAGATTAACTACATCAAAAATAACATACACTAAAGGTTGTTCGGGAGTATATATTTTGGATAGAGTTAATGCAGGACAAATCAATACAAATTGCGGCATTTTTAGCTTCCTTAGGTTAGCAGATTAATGCTTGGAATATGGCGTATAAATGATAATAAATATCAACAGTTAGGCCAAATCTTCTGTTGGCGAAATACTGTCAAGAGCGTCTCGTATAAGATGATTCTGGTTTTAGGATAGTAAGTGATATTCGATGAATTTAATCACTCTTGATTTTTCGGCGGAGAAGTTAATGGCAGTGCTTTTTGGATAAAAAAAAAATCAATTAACTTAGTACCGCTGTACAAGATCAGATAATTTGCATACATAGTTATTTTACAGATTTGAGCAAATGCCATTAAAGGGTAGTATGAAGAGAGTACAGCTTAGAACAGACGCATGAGGTACGTCATTGTCTTGTACATAGGTTATGCAAGTTATTCCATTGGTGAGTACTTTGAAACGACGATCGGTGAGAAACTGTTCAATAAAACATATTTTCTTTTAATGTTGTATTCTCTTAGTTTATCCAGTATGTTTGTTATTAATAGCTTATGCTATTAATATTATGCTTTTTTCTGGTAAGTGGTTGTGGTTTCTGTCTGTAGCGTTATTTAGTTATCAGCGATATTGCGAAATGGTCTGAATTCGGATTGAGCTGAATCTATAATCTTGTTGGTTCTCCATATACCATAATATGAGTTTTTATTTGAGTTTTTCCATCAGTTTACACGTTGTACATATAAGTGAAATAGGACGATAGGAGTTCGCATTAGTCGATAGCTTGATTCACTTCATAATAAAACTTTTTGGTCCACATTACGTTGAACAGTTTTAGCAGTTTAGAAAGTAGTCTGAAAGACTTTTTAAAAATACAACGGAAATTTATTAGTTTTTGTTTACAAAGTAAAAAATTGAGATTGTTTCATTTAAAAAAAATATTTTCAATACAAATTATCGATCTAGATTCCGAAATGGCAAATAAGTAGTTTATTTGATCGAAATTGTATTTTGTTTCCAAAGGAATACTTAATTTGAACTAAGATGTTACATGGTATCAGTTAAAAAATTTTAGACGAGTGTCTTGTTCTTCGATGCTACACCATACTTTTCTCTGCGCTGTTTGAAAATTACGCAGTTTTTATGACAGCTCATTTGCGTTTTATATTGTATTGTATTCGAAGTTTACCGGGGTGGTCATATTATTTTTATAAATCCTTTACAAAACCGAGACAAGTTATTGTTATTTATAATTTTTTTTTTTTTTTTTTTTGAAGCAAAGTTTCTATACTGAGCTAGTATCACTTATTCTCCGTAGTACAATGCTGAGGCGAGCGTCACTGAAGTAGCGCCACGAAATATCGGTTCGCAGTCACAGTATATAGTTGAAAGTGTCCATTTACGCAACGAATAGAGTACCTTATATATATATATATATATATATATATATATATATATACACCCCCGGTATTTAGGCGGCACCGCAAACCCTTATCTCTTGCCGTACTGCTCTTCCATAGGCTGATCAAACACCATCATATTTTAGTCTAGGCCGCAGAATCATTTAGAATTTTAAACTGCTGCGTTAGCCTTTTTGTTTTCTGTAGACCGAGCTGGGGATCGAACTCACTTCCACTGAACCACTCGCAGTGAAGCGAATGAGAAACCGGCCGCCCAGCCCGCTTGGCTATCTGACCGACAGAGAGTACCTTATACAACATCTAAACTTTTTCAATTTTATTAAAATCTATATAAAAATAATAAATAAAAAATCACTTTATTCATTTCGACAAATATTTAAATTTTAAAAATACAGAAAACATAGTATGAAGCTTCGCGCTAGTCTACAGGACTACCTACTATACCACTTTTTTTGCTTTTAACAGTCCTATATAAAGCCCGTTGTGATCTTCTGTCATAAAAACTGTTCTATCGTGCATTTCTAAATCGATAATAACTGATTATTTTCTTCGTTTGTCAGCAATACTTTCGCATTATTCTGTGCTTGGATTTTCTAGTTAATAGAAAATAAAATAAATGTAGGTAAATGAAATATTCTCTCCTTTTTAGTACTTTCGAAAGCGCTTATAAAAAAGTTGCAATCGACGCTCTACTACCCAAATAGGTCGTCTGATAATCTAGAGTGATCTTTTAAGTTTTTTACGCGAAGCGTAGGATGCACTTGCAGTACCTGTTCTCATTAGTGGAGCTTTCGGCAGGCATCTCCTTAACTGTTCATATCCTCGTCGTATTTGCATTACAATGCCAATTCGTCGTTTAGTCACAAAATTGTTCCGTTATACGGTGTTGCCGGCGTGTAACGGTTAGGTCTGTTAGCTGTAGTCATGAGTCATGTAATATATGTATCTCAAGGTTTAGGAGATAATATGATTGAAATATATCGTAGTATTTTTTATATATGACTGAAATGTAGTTGTGATTACGTCCTGCAATCATTGATTTTGGCATTCTGTCAACGAGTTTTCCTAATTAATGCAGTAATTAAGATGTAATTGGATTTAACCACAGTTCTAGGGTCAAAACTGTTTCATTGAGCTTTTACCCACAGTTGGTTGATATTTTAAAGATTTCTAACATTGAAAACAGTGGGAAATCAACTTATTACTTACTTTATTTTTTCTCGTTAATTAGAAAAGTACCTTCACAGCTAGGACGTGACTTTCCTGCAAATGTCACTGGCATTTTTATAACTGTCAAGGTAATTTATCAAATTATAATAAAGAAATATTATAGACAATATTTTAAAAGGAAAATTCCCAGTATTGACTATA